ATGTGTACACAGTCAGTAAGCTAGCGCGCATGATCAAGATTAATTGCCGAACAGTGGGTTGAAATAAAGAAAACTAAAATTTTTTTTATTTGTGAATTTCTAAAGGTGTTTCGGTTAACTTCATATATATAGGTAAAATAAAAACCTTAACAAGTTCGCATTTGTTTCATATTAAAATAATTAAATTAAATGTTTTTTTGCGCATAAAACTATTCAATCTCTCTAATCACTGCTTTCTTCTCTTTTTAATCGTACTTTCAATTTACAAAAAAATCTAATTAATTTAATGTTAGAATTTCAAGTGTTGAAGTAATGCTTCAATATCTTCTTCGACTACCAAAATGCAGAGGGAGGCTAGTTAAGCTTCATATGCAAAAAAGAGAGCCGGATTTGATTATTTGACGTTTCTGAAATATACTTATCTGAACCGTTATACATAAGATTTTAAAATCCTGCTCTCAGTTCTGTATTTTTAAGGGGCGTACCTAGTGATACAGCCTGAAATAAGCAATTTTTGAGAGTTAAAAAAAAAAAAAACACTACTGTAACGCATATTTTAAAATTCTTAAGGTATACTTATATATTTACGAAAAATACATAGCAAATTTTTTGATAGAAAAAATTTAATATTTCTTGTGTTACACGCCATCTCCTGCGATGCTAAAACAAAGATCCATTGCTGCAGTGATTTAGGTCTTTTCCATGGATTAAAACTAAAAAAAACTCTCTACTAGAAGATATTGTCCGTACAATGATATACGGTCGAATAAATCGAATATTGACAAAATATCACATATTCAAAAAAGTTGATTTTTGATCAGATCAAAGAAATAGTAGGCTATTGAAAACTATATACAGAACATTTGAATAATTTGATACGTAGTGATCAGATGATTTGTCTCCGAGTAATCACTTAAGCAAATTTGAAAAATGTAGTTTTGAAAAAAACGCGTATGTTTGTACTTCCAAAAAGTAAGAGTTTCGACCTGATTGTATCACAGAGAAATTAGCTTTAAGAAGCAAGATTATGTCTGTGTAGATCATAAGAAATGAAATCTACTAAAATCAAATAGAGTTGTTACTTTCAGAGCGGAGAGGTAATTCATGGGTTTTAAAGAGTTTATATTAGTAATAGAGAATATTGAACCCTTATATATTATATTTGATTTTCTAAGGGAAAAATAAAGAAAAATATGACTTACTTTACTCTAATATGTTATGATTTTTATTTATTAAAACATATGAAAAATTTAAAAGTAGAAAGTAACGGCTTTTAATAAAACATTTATACTTATTTGTATTCTATACGAAACCTTTTCAATACTAGTGCGTTTCACTGTACCATATATAAAATCGCATGCGATATTTGCAAGCAGAGAGAAAAACAGAGAGAGGAAGGTTGGGAGAAGAGAATATATGTGAAGTAAAAGTCTTATGTTTTAACCTCAAAATCTCTGACACCAAAAATATAGCATGCTATAAACTTTTCACTCTCATTTTTAAGTAAAAAACTTCGAGTAAATAGAAAGTATTCGTGTTTATTAATTTGCGTGCAATTACACCATAATAAAAAGGGCGCGTTGTAATAAAGAGCGACATGTTGGCAAATGTTAAATGGCCTTGAACGTATGACATACATACATATGTGTGTAAAGAACGAATTAATAAAGAAGAAACACAATAAAAATGCGGAATGCTTTTTACCCAACTATGGCAACGGGGTGCACTGAAATAAAAGTGAAATATCATATGTAAATATAATTATTCATATCTGCGTGTGTGTGTGTGTGTGTGCGCCTGTATGTGAGTCCACGTACCGCGACGTTAATGTCACCATATGTCGAGAAAGCATAAATAATAAAGAATAACGAATTATTACATTGCGTATACGTCGCGTATGACAGCATTGAAATAATTGGACATACATATGTACATATTCATTATGTCTACAATAACAACAGTCTTCAAATGTCATAATAATATTACAATATACCAAAGTCATATATTGGTTTAGAAGAGACAACGCAACCGCAATCTAATGTGAACTTAGTACGCGTTAATTTGCAGTAAAAAGGCACAAATGTATATTCGTACGTCGCGGTTGTCCGCAGTCACTGAACAAGCTCATTTGTATGCGATATGTATTCACAAATTGTGCACTCAATAACTGCAGGAATATGAGACATGTGAGAAACGCTGTCGCTGCCTGTGGCTGGGTGCATAAAGCGACGTCGCGCGCTTGGACTGTTCCGTTTGGCCGCGAACAAGCGGTGCAGCAACAAGCGACACGATAATATGTATAATGGTATACTACATAGAAAGTTAAGAGTTGAAATAATTTCGAAAACACTATAGCTGAGATACCCTACCCTTATAATATGAAGTGATCATGGTTTTTATTTGCATATTTCAGGTTATGGTGAAAATTTATGTTATTTGATATGATTTTTATTTGATTATTGATTTTTATACACTCAGAAGTAAACATCGGAAACCACACAAAATGTGTACATAAATGATCAGCATGACGAGCCGAGTTGATGAGTTGATGAGCCATGTCCGTCTGTCTGTTCCTCTTTTCTTGGAACCGGCCTACAAATTGAAGTATCTGCATGGACAATTTTTTTTTTTGACAAGGTATCTTTGACATAGATTATTGTTCAAAACAACGGTACAGTTTCCGAAAAAATTGTTCATATCTGTACGCTATAGCATATAGCTGCCATACAAACTGATCGATCAAACTCAAGTTCCTGTATAGAAAATATTTTTATTTACCTTATTTTCACGAAACTTGGCAAAGATTATGTTTCAAGTTAATGCTTCAAACTTGAACCTGTGAAGTGTATTATAGCTTCGATGCAGCCGAAGTTACCGTTTTTCCAAAAAGGAAGTTCAAATAGCAATAATGCGCTTAAAACTATCAAATCTAAAAGACTGATGGATCTATACTAATGTGATTGAAAGAATTTGAAAAGTAGCTTATCTACAGAATATGCTTGAACAAAAGTCTGCCTGCCAAGCAAAATTCAGATGAACTTGGTTCTATCTTCGAGAAGAGTGATCACAAGGTCTGCGTAAAATGGCTTGGTCACGAGCTTCAAAAAACACTAAACTCACTGCAGGTATAAAAAAGTTGAACTTTTAGAAAGACTAGGCAAGCTGCCAACAACTCAACAACAAGCACTCATGTTTTTCCCCCACGTAATATTTGTTGGTAGTCATAACTTTGTATTTTTGAAAAGTTTATCTTTGTTTGAAAAAGTAGTAACAGAGTAAGCAAAATTTGAAATTAAACGAAGACTCTCTTTGCTTATAGGCAATGTTTTATAATTTAAGAAATAAAAAATTGCTCTCGACGATCATAACACCTGAATCAACATATGATGCAAAAATGTGGGCTTCAGGGGACCCTTAACTTGTCGTGTGATTTCTTGAAAGCTGCCTCTCTTCCAGACATGACTCAAGACTTCACATGACTAACTATGAGTCCTATAGAACTATGTTATATATTAAAGTTGTAGGTAATGAAAATATTCAAAACTCTTGTATTTACATTTTTTTTTTTCACATAACCTCAAAATTTATGTGAAAAATTCAAATAAACAAGTTTTTGGTTTTTTTTGTTATCTTGTATAAAACAAAAAAATAATTAAATGAAATTCGTACTATGCATTTTGTTTGCTTTAAAAAATTATCTACTTTCGTCTAATTAGTCTATGGTGATCAATAAAACCGTGTGACGCGAGCCAAAACTTTTCTGCGATACCGCAATATTCACTTTCATGCACTCATATAGTAATTTATACTCAATACTACACAGCGAACTCAATACAAATACAAATAGACTTGTATATAAATATTAGTGTAGGGTATTCATATGACAGCAGTAGTGTGTACAGAGTGTCAACCGGAAGCGTCAATGCGGCGCGCGGCGGGCTGCTCTACATTTTCATGCATATGCAATTGCGCCTAGAAGCGCGTGTGGTCTCCCCATTCATACGATTGAATTTGCATCTAGGTTTGTGTATGAATATGCATGTATTATTTACCTTTTCACATTCACTTCCAATGCTATGCTTGATTCGCCATCAGCAAACAGTCAGTCAAGCATGTCTCTGACCAGCTGAGCCGTTAACCGCTAGCCAGTTGACTATTTGACTGCTTGACTGCCTGACTTGCCGACTGGTTGATTTGTGAGCGTCGCTGTTGCATTCAAACGAACAACCGCAAAATTTATGGTGCACAACATCACAGACGAGCGATTTAGTGTAGCAAGCGCTAGCGAATGGAGGTCAAGGGAATCGCTACATTAATCATCAAGCGCTTGTTATGAGCAAAATTTTGCGCATTGTCGGCAGCAAAAAAGCGAACGCATTGGGAATTCTTGCCTTCACATATAACACAACGCGACACAAAATGTTGACTTCCTTGCTTAGACGACGAACGAATTTTGTGAATGTTGTGTCGCGGTTGACAACAATTTGCGCTAGAACGAAAATTTTGCTGGCGTGACGTTTCGCATACTGCCAAAAGATTGCTAGGCTATGATGGGTTGTTTTTGGTGCAAATGTTTGAGAATGTGTTAATGATGTTTGTGCAGTTATTGAGATGACCCACAAGTGTCTTGCGGAAGCCATATGGCGGAATCGAAGTGCACACAGCTGACCGCTGACCATTTAATCAATCAATGTATGCGCAAGGGAATGTCAATTATAAAGATTTTTTCTTGCACAAACAAATGGGCTCTCCAAAAAAATTGTCTAAAAAGATTAATGACCTCAATTGGCCAAAAAGCTGGGGCAAAATTTTTTACAAAACAAAAATGTGTTAATTTCGACTGCACCGAAGTTTGTGTAAAAAGATTTTTATCTTGATTTAGATCGGTTATTTGGTATGGCAGCTATATAGGGGTTTGATCTGAACAATATGTTGGGAGATTATAATGTTTACTAGGAAGATTATCTTTGCCAAATTTCGTGATCCATACAAGGGCTTTATTTTGATCGATCAGTATATATGGCAACTATATGCTATAGTGGCCCGATATTGGCGGTTCCGACAAAAGAGCAGCTACTTACAGAGATATGGGCGTATGCAAAATTTAAGATCGATTTCTCAAAAACTGAGGGACTAGTTTGATAACGCATATTTTTAAATGTCATGAAACCTCTGGTGATAATAGTGAGATCATTCAAAACATGCAAGTGATCCGAACACTAAACAGTCAATGAAACTATGTTCTCACTTAATTTATGTTGATGGCTTTAGGCGTATAATGTATCACTGATAGTATCATATAAAGAACAATCAGTTGGTGATGGTAAAAGACATTGCTCAACAATTATATAATATTAGCAATAGTTTTTATCTTACGGAAACCCTAGGATACTATCTCAAAAACTAGCTGACCCTAAGAAACTTGCGTTAGAAGAAATTCAATGAAAGAAATCATTACTATCTCGAACGCGAAATATTATATAAGCATATCCAAAGTTTGGAAATTTATTTTGATAAATGGGAATGAACCTTCGTTGAATCAAGTGATTAAATTCGATGAAACTATAGATCAATTTTGATGGGATAACATTGTTTATAAACTTGAAGCAGGCATGGTTCGGCGTGAGTTTGTCTATATTCACGCAAACATAGTAAGGAAACTCAGATAACGTTGAAATTGTTCGTGTGTCTTGTTCGAAATGAAATTTGAGCCAAACGTAAACGTGACCCAAATAATGATGCTCTATAATATATGGAGTTCACAGATTACGGAATTTTCGGTATGCCATTCTTACTTCCCGTATTTCGTCTATAGTTTCAGATAAACCTAGAACGATTTCTTTGCCGGTTAGAAATCTCTTATCTCAAATACAGTAAAGATCGTTTTCGTAGATGATACATATTATTTATACAAAAATAAATAAATCAAATGTATAATACATCATCTGAACAATCGGAACTCAGTTGTCAATTAGATGCCATTCTATTTAGCCATAGATTTTCCGTAAACATACTCCTGTCAGATGGTGTCAATGAGAAAATTAATGAGTTCCATATGTCACTTAAAAAATTTGAAACTCTAGCCAGAAAATATTGAGCGCCACACACACAGCAAACAGTAATTGGAATAAAGTGTAGCAGCCGGCGGCGCGCGCCCTTTCAAAGACCACCCGCAATAACTGTCATATACTTGTATTATATTTCATAGCCGGCAAAAGCGCGCTAAAAGTTCAAAAACACCAACAAGCATGCTTACGTAAATATATGTGTGTATGCAGCAAAGCGAATGAGACCAAAGTGAAAATTACGAGTAAAGTTGAAAAAGCATATAAAAACGAACAAAGTGCAAATTGCTTGGACAGAAACGAATAGCAAAACAAAATACATGAATAATAAATTAATGCATATGTGTACGCTTGCAGCTGTTGCGCGCTCAACTTAGTGCAGACACGAACCTGCATATAACGAACAAAGTTGAGGGCTACATTTACAATTTATAGGCAAAATGCCGCATTGATGACGTATGAGCTGGGCGCTGCGATGCATGGCGTTGCGCTGCAATTGCAGCGCACAAGGCTGTCGTTGGCGCCGACGTCGCAGACACTGTACATAACGCAGCGCCTGCTGTTAGTGTCGTCCATTAGCATAGCGCCAACGGTGTCACATAGACGCAAAGTGGCAATAGTATGACGATGTCAACGAAACGTTGCACATGTGGCAGCAATAGTAGGCAACAAACAACAGTGACAGCTGCTCCATGTGATACCGTCTGACGGCAAGTCGTGCATTGCTGAAATCTTTTCGCCACTCTTCTTCACAAGCGTGTGCACAAACAGTTGGCTTTTAACGACTCGTTGCTTTGGTATTTTTACGCATAATCGCATGGCGGCATTCGTTGTGGTGCGACACAATTCATAATATTTCGCGTTTAGCGCGCGCCTGCCCAACGCGTGGCGACTTGTTCGCTTTCACGCGTTCCACTATTATTGTGATGACAATAGTGGTAAGCACAAATAAAAATAAAAACAAAAACAAAAGCAAACAACTCAACAAGCACCGAAAACAAAAGCAGATCGTAAACTTATTTAGTAGCGGTCGGCGCGCTTTGCCACATACAACATAGTAGTCGCTCGCATTTTGCATTGTACGGACCTAAGACGGACGCTCCGCAAAAGTGTTAACCACAATATACCCACAATACTAATAGCTTAAAGTATACGCAAGGTCGTTAAACAAACTATTTTCGTGCGCGCGTGTGTGTGTAAATAAGCATAATAATTAATAACATTCCATACTGAAGTGAGTGTGAGTTTGCCGCGTCATGTCCACGCCCGAAGAACTGGCGCGCCTTGTCGCCATACACCTGCGTGATTTGCAGGAAAGTGAACCGAATTGGACAGTCGCGCATTCCGATGTCGCGGGACGCGGTGTCTTCGCAACGCGTGATATCGCCGCTGGTGAATTACTCTTCCGCGAATGTCCACTGGTTGTCGGTCCCACGGCGCGCAAGGGTTCCATACTCAATACATGTGTTTGCTGTCACAAGCTGTTGGCCGTCAAGGACTTTCTCTGCAAACACTCATGTATGCTGCCCGTGTGTGATGCGTGCGCCGATTCGACGGTGCATCGTGAAGAATGCGCGCTCTTCCAGCGCTGGCAGCCCGTAGAATTGAGTAAATTAGCGGAGACGTGTAAAGATAAGAGTGCCGGACCGCCACTGGTAAATCCCTACTCGTTACGCATACTTACAGCGGTGCGCGTGTTCTTTCTCAATCCAGAGCAGCGCGCGCTCGTTGACGCCATGCAAGCGAATGCGGAACGCGGCTATCGGCAGGAGATCATCAAAGCGGCGCAGAGTTTTCGCAAATTTCCTACAACAGATAAATCATTTATGGATAATCTTTTTCGCATTGTTGGCGTATTGAATACGAATGCTTTTGAGGCGCCATGTCGCGTTGGCGAACACGAGACGCTCGTGCGTGGCCTCTTCCCACTGACGGCGATCATGAATCACGAGTGCACGCCCAATGCGAGTCATTACTTCGATAATGGCCAATTAGCGGTGGTGCGTGCAGCTCGTCCTATACCCAAGGGCGCGGAGATAACCACCACCTATACGAAGATTCTGTGGAGTAATCCGACGCGTGCCATTTTTCTCAAAATGACTAAATATTTTGTATGTGAGTGTACACGCTGCAATGATAATACGGTGAGTGTGCAGAAGGTTGCTAGCCAGTGATGTTTGTTATGTTGCTGTTGGTGTTGTTTGGTTGCTGGTCAAGGTGCGCGACCTTACCTGCAATACTCGTATTGCTCTTACCCAGCTAGCTATTGTTTTTGCTTTTGCAGTTTTTAACGCTGACATTGGCAATGAGACTAATGAGATTTATTTGCGTGACTGCGGCAACTTCAGCAAAGGCGTGTGTTTGTCCCTGTGTGTGTGCTTGGAATTTATTTGTAATTCAATAAAAAATGTATATATTAAAGGAACTAGGGGAGGATTTTTCTGTGTGCAAAAATGCTTTAATTCCATTAAATTTATAACTTAATACTACTAACAGTGTTGCAAATAATGCATTAAAAAAATAATTGAATTAACATTTGGATTAATTTTCATTTTATACGGGATTAAAAAATAAGAACAAAAGTTTTAATCTCGCATACCGGATTAAAACATAAAAAAAAACAATCTTTATTCCCACATACCGAATTAGAGAATGAAAAAAATTTTTAGCACAAAAAACCGGATTAAAAATTAAAAATAAACTATTGGATTCAAATAAAAAAAAAGAAAAGAATTAAATTTCAAAAATATAATTTAGATTTCAAAAAATAATTTGTTTGAGAATTAACATTTTCTTCGATTTCATTCAAATCCAAAAATTATACTTAAATTTTTAATCTCAACATCGTGATTAAAACAGGAAAATTAAATTTATAATCTCGACATCCGGGATTTTAAAATACAAAATTCGCAACCCTGACTACTAAAAATTTTTTTTCGTGAATTTATCACGGTTATAGCTTGCTATGCAAAATACACATTTTGGTAAATTATTTGAGTTTTTAGTAATCGATTTTCGCTGTTCGAAGCTCATTTATTTTCAAGCAAGCTTGAAATATTATTATTAAGGAGGAAATATGGTGTATATTTAATCTTACTAGAAAAGTGGAAAGAATTGGTGGTGTTTTTTCCTTTTTTTGAAGATACTTTACTGACAGAAAAACGCTGTTAATAAACTTTGACTTTGGCTCATCAGAAATCGCCTATACTAATATAATAATAAGTGTAAGGATATATGTTACCCTGATAAATTATCGCTTAATTATATATTTTCTTTCAACAGACCAATTCTTTACTATACTTCACCCAGATTCTCAAGCCAAATGATTCTCAAGCCAATATATTCTATAGTCCTTAGAATTTCTTCAAAAATATGCTTGGTAAAATACTCTTGACAATTTGAGCTACTAAAGCAAAAAGCAAAATTAAACAATAATTATTATTGAGTCAATTTTAAAACATACATTTTGTAATTTTTTAGAAGTGAGAAAATAAGCCAAAGTCTTTTAAACTTCCACATTCTTATTTAATAAAGAAAAGGCTGTGTACATTTTTCCTCGACTTCGTCTGATTCCAAAAATTCAATACTTTTTGTAACTTTCATCAGGCTGAGTAGAGTCAAATATTTGTAAAATTTTACATCATTAGAAACTCCGTTAAAATTATTGTACTTTTACTCAAAATCCTAGAAATAAATTTCATAGATTCTTTAACCAGATATGTATATACTTATATTAAAACAGCTAGCATGTCCATTCCAAGCTTTGATGAATTTGAAATGTTAAATTAAAAGTTAAGTACTAGTGTACGACTTTGGACAAAATAAGCCCAAAGAGAATTGAAACGTGTGGAAACAAAGATAGAGAAAGCGCAGATATGATTAAGAGAAAACATTTCCGTTAATATAATATAAGGATGTTCTTTGATTATTTTGAGGTTCTTGAAATCATCACTTAACGAAAAGCCTCCTTTAAATATACTTGGAAGAGTGAAAATCCAAATAGCGCAATGTCTGAAAGTCTTTCGGCAGGATATATGAAATGAATAAGTGAAAATACAATATTGTCTTACATTTGTATTATATATATTTCTATTATTTATACAATATTTTGTGTGATTTATTGGATTTACATAGTTCAGAACTCTTGGGCATTAGCGGCCATCTGCATAAATTTCGAATGAGAATGCAAAGGTCAAAAGAAAGTAAGAATAATCATTCAAGCAACGTGTGTCTATCCATATACATACTATATATATATACACATATGTTACATTCACATATTTGTACGTTGAATTTTTGTTTCTGCTTCTACCTTTTTGTAGCAATGTACGTCCAATATGCTAATTGATTATTCTTGAGTACTTCTGTTGACAACGAAATTTCACATGTATGAATAATTTAAGGGTTTACTTTCCTCTAATAAAAAAAAACCATTACTAAAATCAATAAGCAAATGAGTAAAGAGAAGTAAGCATACAAAAAAATATTATAATTTGTGAGCAAACTATATTTCGTTGATGAAATAATTAGAGTTAATGCATTTGTCGCACGACTCAAAAAAAAAAGAAGAAAAATTTATAACAAAAAATATCATGCAAGACACAACAAATGTGTCCACTTCCTTTCCGCTTAAACAAAAAAATATATTACTATTCAAAATGAATACGCAGAAAAGAAAATTTGGAAGTTTCCACTTAGTTGTCATCTAATTTCTTTTTCAATAAAGGCACAAAAGTTCGTTGCGCTGAAAACTAAAACCGAAAATATTTGACAAGCACGCAAAACAAAGAATGGTATACTAAGAACTTAGTGGCAAAACTTTTCAGAAATGAGAATTAATTACTTTCCAAAAATTATTTTAAATGTGTATTTTAGTCTAAAAATAACTGTGTGGCGCTTTCAGAAGCACGTATTTTGAAATAAATTATGAATTTCTTTAGTTGGCGGCACCTTAATTGATAAATGTAGCGCACTTGCCGAGCAGACAGGCACGCACTACGGTCGCGACACTAATTTGTAAAGTATAATTGAATTATGGGGGCGAACTTTTATATTTTTTTGTTAAACTTTTCTTGTTTCTCGTTTTGCTGCTGAAAAGAAAATATTATTAATATTGTAATACAAACTTTTACTCATTAACAAAATTCTTTTTAAAAAAAAATAGTATGTAGTCTGCTGTGGTGCTCCGCAAGTCGGTCAAAATTCAAGTACTAAAGTGTTGTGAAATATTTGATACAATACTTTAATCATTCGATTACTTTGATCTATCTAACATAGATGGATTAAGGCTAGATGTTACTTATTCTCATTGTAACAGTACCGATAGATTAGCAAGTATGTAACATCGCCACGCTTCCTAAATGCTATGTAAAACTGGATAGTTATTAACACAAACTTTCGAAGCACTTATAACCACAAAATATATTTCCGTATTTATCAAATTTTCACTCCGAATTCGTTGAATAACACTGATTATGATCTAAAAAATTAAGCTAACGCATATCGGCATATTAGAGGAAAGCGAAAGAGTCATTAACAATCTATGGGAGAGAGACATTGATAGTGAATTCTACCTATTGTTTGACAAATAAAATATCTTAAAAGTTTTTAGTTGTCTAAAGAGACGTGAAAGACGATCCACATAGTCAAACTTTTGCTTTTTTGCAGAACCTTTCGCTTAAATCCCACGACAAAAAAAATCAAATATATACATATGTGTTGATCGCTCGTTTTGAAAAACGAATCAAACTTATCAGTACTAGTCTAGCGAAGCCCACCGCTTGATGGCATGACTATCGTGTAGTAGATTCTCGAAGACAACTACTGTCATCAGCTCAACACACCTGCTCACACTTTCGCCGTCGTCTCGGCAAATTTAGGCGAATTAGACTACATAGTGCTGCCACGTCTACCGAATTTTTCATACTTTGCTCTGCCAGCCGTCTTTTTGTTTCCAAACGAGTAAAATACACTTGCCAGGAATCAATTTGTGGCACATGAAGAGTCCTATTTCATGTTGACAACTATGTTAAATCTTAATTTTTCCAAAATTTTCTGTGCCAATTTTTAGGCTCTGTACTTATTGGACTACAATTAAAAACATAAATCGAAAGGTGTCTATAGGAGGTACTGACAGATTAATGACTATCTCTCTAATCAATTCTCCTAATATAATTTTCGAACACATTTCATTCAATGTGAAATGTCGACTTACATACATATGTTGGTTATATTTCTTCATCAAAAACCTGCATATTTTTTGTGTCTTTTAGTATGAATTTTTCCAATAGGATAAGAAAGGAAAGAATAAAGTTAACTATAAATTTTTATGATATCATAAATCAAATCAAATTTTAGGTACTCAGTTGTTGATGAGAAAGTTAACCTGATAATTACTTACTTGCTTGTTCACCAATGAAAAGGTACTACTTACTGGAATGACTTCGATAATATAGGCGCGAAATAAGTTACTGTAACTACAATTTTTTTTTTTAATATTTAATTTGCTACTAATTCGTATAAAATATATAATATTCTTGCTAAATGTTAACGCTCTAAAAATTACAACTTTTCAAGTTTCGAGGCTTTGAAGACTTGGCGTTCTAGCTCACTTATTAAATAAGTCAATTAGCAGCCCTTTCCTATACATGATATTACTATAGGCAATATGCTAATTGACTTAATTAAAAAACTGTATAAACCTCTTTCTTTAAAAACCCCTTTAGTGTGTAGACGCTTGGTTTTGAAAAGTTTAAGTGATTTTTATTTAATTTATTTTCTTACCCTCCGCAATATAAAATATGTTAATTGAATGCAAATGAAAGTAATGTGACATGCGTGTGTGTTCGCCTGCTGTGAGAAAAAATGTGATGCCACTTTGTGCGCTTCATTCTAGCAATTAAGGGAACACCATAATTAAGTGTGATTTAATTTTACTTTCACTTATATAACATGCAACTCTTTGCAGGAGAACGGCACATACTTGTCTGCGCTCTTCTGCCGCGAACAAGGCTGCAAAGGCATCGTAGTACCGGAACAGACGAAAACTTTGCAAACGGACTGGCGTTGCCTCACCTGCGATACAATTGCGCCACACGCGAAGATGTCACGCTATCAGGACTTTGCATTGAACACGATTAACAATCGCATCAACACGAGCACCGTGCACGAATTGATCAATTTCATTAACGATATGTGTCCACGCTTTTGTCCGCCCTCGAATTATGTGCTCGTCGAGGCGAAGTTGAATGTGATTTGGCGCATGCAACGCTTCAAAGGCGATTTCACCGAGGAAGAGGTGCGACATCGCGATCGCTATCGGGAGGAGATTTTGGAGATATTGGAGAAACTGGGCGCCGGCGATTGTACACTAAAGAAGCTAATTACCAATGAGATACCGTAAACGGTGTCAGCGAGTGGAGCGCAAATCGAGTTGTGGGAGCGTATGAAGAGACAGCGAAAGCAATCAAATGAGCTTTTGTATTTATTGTGTTGTTAGTGTGTGCATTTGTGTGCTATTTAATACTCAGAGCAATGTAGTGCTCATTTGTATCATTGTTGTTGTACTCTTTGAAAATTATTGCAATTTTTTAGCGTTTATCTCGAATAACTTATTCAATTCCTTTTCAATTCACATTATTAATTAACGCACTGTAAACCTTTTCGCTTGGCCCAATTCGTGCTCGTACCGACTTGTCAGCGGAAAATCGTGCAATTATTTACGCGTCAATTTATTTATTACTTAATAGTTGTATCCTCAAATTTATAAATCTCTAAAATTAATGTTTACTATTGAGTCTGAAATAAATAGTGAAATACTAAGAGAATTATTTAAATAAACACAAATAAAGAGTCGCTGAAAAATGTGAAAGAAAAAAAAAATATGTGTGTAAATGCTTCATTTCCGTCGTTGAGTGCATAAATTAAATTCTTCTACACACACTTAATGTACTTCAGCGCATTTTTAGTATACTTGCGTCAAAAGAATTTACTCTATAGAATTTTCATACATTCACATACATATGTATGTATGTACCATATATAGGCACTTGTATGTGTTTAGTTAGGTTTATTTGAATTTTAATTAGACTCGCACAGCATAGATGATATTCTTTGACAGCTGTCAACTGGGCCGCATAACACATCAAGTCAACTCAAGCCAATCTCTTGGATGAACCAACCAAGCAGCAAATTGGAACATTTGACAATAACTATGGTAAGTTGAAATAATTAAAAATGTTAAAAAATTTAATGAAATTCAAAAAAATTAATAATAAATGAAAAAAGCCAAAATTAAAATTTTTTTTAAATTGTACATGTAACTAAAAATATTTAACGAAGCTGTAAAAAAAGTATATGAAACTACTAATAAAATAATAATAAAACAATTTTAGCGCACTTAGAATGAAAATATGCAATATACAAGTGCAAAAATCATATAATTTAACATGCTGAAAGAAAAAAAATTAATTTAATTATTAAATTTTTTAAGGTCTAACTAACAAAACCCATCCAAAGATAAAATCAGAAATGTATTATACGATCAAGTTTTCTACTTTTTGTTTAATTAAAAATTAAAAAAAATATATATAAATTTGAAAATTATAACATTTTAAAATTTTTGAAAACTAAAAATTAAACTATTTTTTAGATATATTTGATATTGCAAAATGTGCAAAAAATAAGCAAAATAATATGACGAAATAAAAATTCATTAATTATTGTTACATTTTTTAATTTCTAACCAGGTTTGCGAATTTTTAATTCAAAAATTTTGGATTATAATTTAAAAAATAAAATGAAAATATAATTTTTAATTCCAACATTATATTTTCAATTTCTAATACTGACATTATATGACATGATCCCAACATCAGGATTAAAAATTGAATATATTATTTTATGATTTAAAGGAACGCAAAAAATGTTGATTCCTAGTTATATACTTCTGATCCTTTTGTTTTATTTTTCAATTCGAGAGTTTGGATGAAAAGTTAAAAATTTTTTGGGATCAAAAAAGATTAGTATTTTTTATTTATTAATCTCGTATTTGAAGTTACAAAAAAAAAATTGTATTTTAAATGTTAATTCAATTATATTTTTAGTGCATTACTTGCAACCCTGGTTCGAACAAAATCATCCACAATTGGAAACGCAAAATATAAAATCAAATATTTACTTCTGCCTTTAGTTTCATGAATAACATAAAAAACATATACTTAAATAAAACAATGTTTGAAAAAAAAGCTTTTTTAATTCAGAAAAATTAAAATATAAATAAAAAACAATTTAACGGTCTCAAAGCAAAATTTATTGATTCTAATTGTTATTATTTATTTTAAAAAATATTAAAATAATAATAAAAAAATAACTTAATAACTTGAACTAAAATTAAAAAAAACTTGCATAAATATTAAAAATAATAAAAATTATGGTAAAGTAATGGAATAATAAATTTATAAATTTAATAGCTAAAATTAAATCTTAAAAATATAAAATAAAAATAAAACTAAAATTCTTAAACAGAAACAAAAAAAAAACCATAAAACTTAATTAATATTGAAAGGAAAAAAGGTCAAAAATAGTACTTAAACAGAGCAAATTAAATATTTCTTAAATATTATAAATTAAGCATTATATATAAAAAAGCTAAATAATGGAAAAATTTAAAAAACAATAAATAAATACTACCATAAATTTACTGCCAAAACATTGAAGAATTTAAAAAAAAAAATAATAATGAATTAAAGAGAGATAAAAAATTGTATACATGTATATATGTATGTGTGTTCAAGAAAAACATAATGCATAATATATAAAAAAGCTAAAATAATGGCAATATATGAAAAATAAAACCACAAATTTTCTGTGAAATCATCATTCAATTATTTGAATATTTTCCTAAAACATACTTTAATTAAAAATTTAATTTATTGAAAATTGAAAAAAAAACAATACTTGTAATAATAATAATTTAAAGAAAGATAAAAAATCATATACATGTATAGGTGTGCGTTCAAAAAATATTCGATTTTGCAATTTGAAATCTTTACAAAGAAATATTTAAATTCAAAATTCAAAATAAATTAATAAATTTTATCACTTTCAAGTTAAAAAATGTCACTTCTAAGAAACTTTTGTGCAATTAAATTTATTGTACTTATTTGCATTTATTTAAAAAATTTTTTTTTTGCAATTACACACAATTTCCTCAATCATAAAATAACTTAAAAACAACTAAATAAACGCAGAAAAGTCAAAGAATTTGGTATTATGCCAAATGGTTAGTATTACTTGCTACTGCAACGCTTAATAAATCTGTCAACAGTCATTTAGAATCGGACACTATGCAACAATGTTCGCATACGTTGTGTTCGCATTGAGTACCTCGTAAACTGGGCGCAAAGATGCTCGCAGATAATCGCAACAAATGCAGCAATGCAATAACGTCAACACCAACACACACACGCTTATACTTGTTCATAACTCGATTCTCAATGAAAATGAAATTTCTAATGTGGATTGTGGAATTCTTGCTGTGCCCTGTAGATACTACTTAAATATTTGTTTGTTATTTTGGTTTTAAGTATTTATTTGAATTTTAAAGTAGGCTTCTTGTTTTTATATCGTGGTTTCATTACTTCTGCCCACGAACGAATGTAAAACCTACGAATTGGATCGTACCTCGTTCATTATAGCTTTGATAAATGTAAAATCAAATAAATAGAAATAACTTCTACTCCAAAAAAATATGTGTATTAAATTTAAGCCCTCGACACATACTTTGAATTAAAAGTTCTAAGTTATATGAAGTTCAAAAATTTTTAGGGAATGCTGCAGGTCCTGTCAAAAAAAAAAATTATTCGCGACTTTAGAATTCTTTCTCTGCATGTAAATTTAACTTATCCTTTTCATTGTTGAAAATTTTCTCGATGAGATTTTCCAAAATATTTGCGGGCTAATAACAGAAGCATAGTTTGCTGAATAGCCTTTGAAGCTTAGATGTGGTATATTTCTAGCTCTATAACCTCTTAAGTGATTTCGGCCGAGTCCATTGCGATAATACACTTGTCTTTTTCATTTCCGAATTGACGTCCAGTAAAATAATAAAGTAAAATTAGGCCCTTATTGAAACCAGCTGGTTCCATATAGAATTCTTTCTGAGCTGAATCATTTCATTTTTTACAAAAGATTATATAAGATCGGTGTTTGCTTAACTTTAAAAATACTTGTGACCTTTCTTTTGAAAATTCTTATTTTTTTAGAAAACCGTTATGTTACATATGCACATTTCTACCCTCCATTTTACTTGGCAACTAATATATACACTTACAGTTGCAAATGATTAATGTGGCCCTGATTGAAATCAAAGAAATTGTGGCACACGAAAATAGCAACGAGTTGTCGCAGACGGTGTATAAGGCAAAATATAAATGCAAGAAAAACCAAGAATTACCACCCCAACATTGGCCTTTTGCAACGTAATTAAAATTTACAACTAATGAATAAAAATATATTTCATAATTTCAACGAGGAAGACACAATTGCATATTGAATGGTGGCATGTCTTGGCGCTGGCTGCAAGTTTAATCAAGCCAGTGTGTTATTAACGCAAGCATTTGCATATATTATATATATGTATACATATGTATTTAAAGCATGTATTGAGCAGGAAATTAAAATAATTACAGTCTAGACTATTGTTTGGTAAATTTAGTCTAAAGCAGTGGGTGCCTTAGAGAATTAATTAAATTTTCAGTCATACTATAGATATAATACAATACTCGAAAATATTTTTTCGTATGAAGACGGTGAAGACATGACAATACAATTTTTTTTATAGATTTATTTTTGGCTTATTGATACTAAAAATTCATATGCTATATCTCCAACATGCTACTTATAGTTTTCGGTACTAAATGGAAAAATATAATTGTTTTTTGATTAAATAAATAAATAAATTTCTAGATAAATATATAAATTTTTGCCGCCCATATGTTATGCCTTACTATCATTACCAAAATTATATGCTTCAAGCATTTAATCTGCTTTAAACATTAACTTCCCAAATTGTTGGACCACCCTAGTATACATATTATTTGCAGATGCATTTTTCAATAATTATGTCTGCTTGCCAAATTTTCATGGCGCTTTCCCTTGAAAATTACAAATACCTTTTTAATAATTGAAAATATTATTTGTGCAAACTTATGACAATAACATACGAAATCCAGACACAAAGAAGAGTAAAATAATTAGACGTACGAATATTATATATTGTATATATATCACAACAAGGAAGAAGAAGACAGAATTTTGTTTAAAGGAAGAGTTGATGTGTCTTCAAAACTTTATTAACAAAATGTTGGGTAAAAAATTTACATTCATTATTGGAAGAATTTCTGACCAATTATTATTTCGGATGCCCGGCTAATTTAAGATACAGCGCCACGTCTAACTGATAAGCGTGGTATAAAGTAAACCATGAGGATTAATTATTATTTGGGGTATACAAAGTTAAATATTTTGTCCACAATCGTCAATTTTTGACACCGAACTACATTATACTTCAGAATTCCAGCGTATTTATTTGTAATAAATTATCTTATCTTACAGTGCGTTCAAAAAATGCGGTTTTCGTTTTCCAAAGTGTAGGTACCGTTTATTGCGAAAAATGTTGTAATTATAGAAAATATATTATTTTATTATAAATAATTATCGAGCTTATTCAATACTTGCTTCAATCTATCGCGCTGTTTATTATAGCCTGACTTTTTTGATGGCAACTTGAAATTAAATTTTACGCATATTTTACAGGAAGCGACCTCCAGCTATACTGGAGTGGTCGAATGAAATATTTTGTTGACGTTAAATTATTTTTGGATATTTTGACTTTCATTAAAACACAAAAATTCTCTATTGGATTGGCGTTTTGTGACTGTAATGGCCAATCTAAAGTAATAATATGGTTTTCTTGTTTCCATTGAGCGCAGAGGCTGCTCCTATGTTTCGAATCATTGTCTGCTTGCATTCTGTCGCTTATACTAGCTGACGCTAATAATGCATTCCCTTGACGCTGAGCACGCTATCCAGTATACCCTTTTTATACAATTTTATCATTCTAACGGCGTTCAGGTTTTCTGTGAAGCAGCTCATAACCAAAAACCCATGAGCTGAGCAACTTTCTAAACATACACCTTTCGGGGATGCTTAACACTCCTTTGAATAAATAATTGTCCTTTTCTTAGTCAAACACGTCTCAAAAGCTTGACTTATCCGAAAATATTACATTGCTCCAATCATGGTTTATATTTTTGTGCATCCAATGCAACCTTTTTTCAACATGTGTTTTGGAAACTAGGGGTTTTACTGTTGTGTTTGTTGCCAGATCTCTGTAGTATGTCCTGAATTGCTAGAGATATATCTGATCCCTTTTTAAACCCATTTTTTTAACGTATCTTAGATTTAGCAGTGGTATTTTGGGTTCTTCTCGGAAATATGCTATGGTGGTCCGATGTCGGCCGTTCCGACAAAGGAGCAGTTTCTTAGTGCGAAAAGAACAGGTGCAAAATTGCAGATCGATAGCTTAAATACTGAGGGACTAGTTTGTATACATACAGACAGACAGCCGGACATGGCTAAATCAACTCAGCTCATCATGCTGATCATTTATGACACATATATCTGTTATAGCGTCCCCGACGTTTCCTTCTGGGATTTACAAACTTCGTGGCAAACTTAGTATACACTGTTCAGGGTATAAATATAGTTTCCAATACGCAACAGTTCTCAAAGGTTTGAATTTGAATAAAAATTAGCACGCAACTTAAAGCTTTCTTGCGTTAATTATGATGTCATCAAAGACTATATATACTGTAAGTATATGCATGCTATTTTAGAAGATTGAATATTTCTATTAGATACTTTTAAATTTTAGCCCAAGAACCCAAAGAGTATTTAAAATTTCTGTACATTAGTCATATAATTTTATTTCATTAAAATCTCTGTCAGTCAATATCAAAATAAACAAAATCAATTAAATTTTTGTCGAATTACTTAAAAATGGGTATCTGGTCACCCTGGCGAATTTCACTAAATTTTTCGCTGAAATCGCTAACATCAAATTCTACTAGGCGACCAGCACGCCTCGTGGGTCGCAGACGCAAAAAATAACTAATTTTCTGTTGCATACCCCCAAAAGAGCGAAACAACGTCCTGTCTAACGGTCGGTATAGCGGTGCCAAGTTTGTATTTTCAACATTTCGAACATTTTTGCATATCTCGTGAAAAACTGTATGAATTTTCATGCTACTACTGGCAAATTAAAGACTATTGTTGTATTGTTATCAGCGTTGTTTACCGGTACAGCTATGCTCTCGCTACAAATATAAACGCGAACATTTTTAGATAAATATTAGTAAAGTAGTGTGCTTTGATTTGAAAGTATGGCTTTATGTACTGCCATTTTTGTAATGCTAATTTTCTGCGCATAGAATTTGGGTTATGTAGTCCGTGAGAAATGTCACTCAAAGCTGTCTTCATCTGACTCTAAAGTTGTAAAATTATACAATTTTCTTTTCAAAGTTGCACTGCTGAGTTTGCTTTTAAAATATTGTTTAAAATTTAGATTTGTTAATATTTATTTAGCGCTAAGCTTCTAGCTGCACGCTTGCGCTTTCATTTGGTGTTTCAATGCACGCTATCGGTGTAAATTAACGAAGTTATAAGCAAATGTTTGCTGCTTCCGGTTCTAACAGTTACCCTTGCGGAAGTCGGCAGCGCAGTGCAACTTGCGCCTTTTGGGTATGCTACAGTAGCAAATTAATTTTTTGCAGCAGTCACCAACTGTGCTACTTTGCGCGCCTGGTAGAAATCGACCAACATGAAATTCAGCGAAAAATTGTGTGGCCGAGTTGGCTGGGGTGACCAAATGCGATTTTTGTATTAAATGGGGAAACTAAGGAAGAAAACCAATTTTTGGTGACTGGTGGGTGAATTTTGGTAAAAATTTGTACGTGTTCAGACGCGCATAATTTATATTATTAATTTTTTTTAATAAAAATATTAAGAAATTTAATTATAATAATTAATTAATTTCTCTTATACTAGCGCCATAAATAACCGCATACGCTAGTGGTTTGCAAAATTGTCCTATAGGCGTAAAAAAATATATAATATTATAGCTTTTACTCACCTTTTCATTACCGTTAAGCCTAAAGTATAATATTTTTACTATACATATATTTTTGTAATTATTTCTTTATTTAATAAAAATTGTTTCTTTTTTCATAGTGTATGAACATAATTAAGTTTTGTTTATATTTGTATTGCCACTTAATTTTATTTTAACTTAAACTTTGAAAATTAATTTTAAGAAAATTATAATATTAAATAAAAATATATAAGAAATTAATAAAAATATATCAAAAATTAGTACAAAAAATTTTCATTAACTAAATTTTGCTAATTATGTGTTCTATTATTTTAGTAATTTTAAAAGATTTTTTTTTTAATATTGAGCAGCTCTATTTAATTATTATATTATTACTATATTTGATAACAATTTATGAATACCGTTTGTAATTCTTATACATTCAGTTTGAGCATTTGATATGTAAACCTGAGCGTTCATACTTACAGTTGTGGTAAATATTTTAGTTAATTTTTGTTTTTTTTATTTTTTGAAGAAAATTATTATTTCCGCTAAGATTTTAATAAAATAGTATTTTAACACTTAGATATATTAAATTCTTCAAGTTCTGCACTTACATATGTTTTTGTAAGTTTCATATGTTTTTATGACAGTTTTGCTTATATGTAGCTTACAACAACAACAATAATAAAATATGACTAAATTCATTGCACTTTGAACGGCTTTGCTAGCAGTTAAAGTAAATTTGAAGATCCTAATAGGTACATATGTATATATCTGGCTACAGTTATTAAATTTACAGTTATGCAGGCATACATAAATATTACAGATTACATATGTACTACATATTACATACATATTAAAGGCAAAATTGTTTCCCTATATTTGTGTTGCACCGTAAAGGTCACTTCTTTCTCAAAGAAACATACATACATATGCATATGTTTATATGTGTATACATACATACATAGCTATATAGTAAGTAGCTTCACACATAGTTATATACATATGTATATAGTCACTTATAAATAAATTTAAAAAGACGCTTAAGCGAATGAAAAACATCTAAAAAATTGCAGCAAACTCCTGCAAGCAGACGGAGAGAAAACTTGCACCTGGCTAGATCCAAGAGACCACATTAGCTTCGCGCACTTGTGACTTGCTGCTTCTGCTTAGCCTTGGACTCGAGGTGTCTTTGTAAGGGTGGAATGACGAAGAGCATGACGCCGCTAATGGCAATTGTAATGCCGGCCATAAGGAAGGCGGGCCCATATGAATTGGTGATGTCATACATCCAACCTAAAATACATCAACAAAAGTATTAATGAAGCATAAATGAAAAAATAAATAAATATATATATATATATATATTACATACCGCCAATTGGTGGTCCGATGAATGAAGCGATGCCCTGGAAGAGCAGCAGCAAACCGAAAGCATTGGTCAGTTTCTCCAAACCGAGCAAATCGACCAATATGACGGAGGTCAGGCCCACATAGGCGCCGATGGTGAAACCGAAAGCGGCACAATAAGCAGCGAGCGTATAAAAGCCGGTGCAAAGCGGTGACAAGGCAGTAGCTGTAAAAAATTAACAAATTTTAATATTCAATTCAATACAATTGCTTGTTTTCGTATACTTACAGATGCCGCACAGCGTCAGACAGGCGTTGTACACCCACAAACGGTTGACCCATGGCTTGTCCGCCAAATAGCCGAGTACTATTCGGCCCACGGTATTCGCCACACCGATTGTGGCAATCAGGTAACTGGACTGTGCGCTGCTTATGTTGAGCGTTTTAGCCTGGGCGACTATGTAAATGTAGGGCACATTGAAGCCGATGCTGGTGAAGAAGTTCGACAGTGCAAATACCATGAAGACGGCATCTTTTAGCAACGAGAAATTCATCATTTCGACGAAAGTATCGTGGGTCTCTTGGGAGCAGCTGATGCAGCCGCAGCATTTTATTCTTACCTGAAAAAAATATATTAGTAAATTCGATTAGTACATCGGAAATTTCTTGTTTATCAAATAGTTTAGATATAATTTTAGCATACATGAACATATGTATTATTGACATTATAGTTTGTTGGAATAATTAAAAAGTACCAATAAAGATATTTTATTGTTTTTCCAACGTTTAATTAAACTCTCCACTTTTGGAGACTTCCGGATTTTTGATAAATAGCATTTAAATAGTACTATGCTTATGTTTAGTGTATTAAAAATCGCTTGGATATATGTTTACGAAGTGTCACGTGTTTGCAGACTTTTGTAAAACTTCATTACTTAAAAAAGATGTGCATAAAATGTGATAAAAGTATAAGTGTTACAAACATTTTTTCGATACCACTCATATTTTGTAGACGTACATATATTTTAGTTTTTCGGTTAAAAATGTATTGTCTGAAGTCGCTTTTAACAATTTTAAAATAAATGGTTAATCTAAATATACAAATCTACATACATATGTACATATGTATTCTTATGTAAGTATTGAAAACAACCCTAATTAATATAACGGTCATAACCTAATTTAAATAACAATTGTCAAATAAATTTTCGACCTCAAAACTCATTTGGTATAAAAGTCTTAGCTCTCATACCGATTCAGATATACTACAGAGCTCTAATAGTTATACAATTTAAAATATATACAAAGCCAATAAAAATTATGAATTTATTTGAATAAATGTATGTACAAATGTATGTATGTACATATGTATGACATGTCTTGGAATTTATGCGATTTTGGAATATACTTCTTATTATTCTAGCTAGTTGCTTTGGAATTCTTCATATTTTTTATACTTTCAATGTAAGATATCAGTGTTAAATTTGGTTTCCCAACAAAAAACAACTTTCTACAAATTGGAGATTTTCAAAAACTTTGGGGTATACTTCAGGAACATTTTATATTGCATATTTACACTCAAATCTTCGTTAGTTTTTAATTTTAAATAATTTGTAGACTTTGAAAACTCTACACTTTTTTTGGAGATTTTATAAAATTGTTTTTACTAAACTTTTGTGGCATTTTAAAAAGATATTTTATAATTTTGGAGCTGTATTATAAAAATATCAAGACTACAAGCAAATTTTTAATTATTTTTCTTTTTAAACTAAATGCGTTTGTACCTGTCCGCATATTTTTTTTTTATAATTTACATAATGTAAATCACCTAATTACATACATAAATTAGTAGTTTCAAATTCGACAAAATATGCTTACAAATACTCCCCTTTCTCAATTTAAGCAAATAGCCGCACCTAACATATTTAATTGTACAATTTAAAGGTAAACATATGTAGGTATGTGTAGCTTTTTCATTACTAATTTATTCCGAAATTATTTTGTCAAAGAAGATGTGTATAAAGAAAAGTAAAAGTAAATTTTTAATTCGACTAGACTAAAATGAAACAGAAATAAATAATTTAATGCGAGCTGTACGCATTATACTTAAATAAGCATTAACGAAATTACATTTATACTTGAACGTGAACCTTCGTACTTTCAAAAAGAACAGAAGCAAATACAATTTTATCGTAGAATTTTAAAATGTGCTGAGTTAATGTAAAATAAAAAATGCAAATATTTCGAAATGTTCATTGTACGCTTAAATCAGAGTTTGGAAATTACTTCATTCGAAATTTTGGAGATAGTACTGGAATAGATCTCCAAGTGCGCGGTAGTGAGCAGCAAGGAAAAGAAAAATACGAAAAAAAGTTTAATAAGGATACCAAAAAGTGCTTGAAGGTATCTCAGGAGCGTAGTGAGTAAGCGTTTTAGGATTTTCAGATAAGATTTCAAAAAAGTGGGGAGATAATAAAATACTTCAAAATGATTCACGACTTCTACGCGGATGCGGAGGTATTTGTAACGGGCGGTTCGGGTAAGTGAAAAAACACAGCATAAGATGCACTCAACCTAAAATTTTACAATATATTTCATTCGTTCTTTTTAAAAAATAATGAAAATAAAATATATCAGGCGCCGTTGGTAAAGCCTTGATTGAGAAGCTGTTGCGCTCCTGTGATGTGCGTAAAGTCTACCTACTGCTGCGTACCAAGAAGAATCTCAGTGTTGAGCAACGTTTAAAAAAACTAAAGCAGGCGAAGGTTTGCCCAACAACAAAAAGAACTCACATATAAAGTTTGAATATACTCTACTTCACTTTCATAGATCTTTAAAGTATTGCACGCCACGAAGCCACATATGTTCGATCGACTTATACCGATAACAGGCGATGCAGCATTATCGAATTTAGGTATTTCGTCAGAGCATATTGCTCTAATGGCGAATGTTTCGGTCGTTTTTCATTGTGCAGCGACTGTGCGCTTTGATGAACCGTTACCCGTTGCTTTGAAGCTAAATGTGGGCGCCACTTATGAGGCTTTGCTGTTCGCTGAGCAGCTGAAGAACTTGAAAATGTTTATGCATGTCTCAACGTTTTACAGTAATCCATATTTGAAGCGCGTAGAACCGAAGGTATGTGGTTAGTTAACGGTTTTCGATTAGGAAAGTGAGTATAATGTTTAAACTTTCAGCTTTACGATTCGCCATTAGATTGGCGCATGTGCTTGAAGCTAATGAAGGATGATAGCAAGCGAGATACTTTGGATTATTTAACGAAAAAGTAAGTTTTCGAGAGATAGTTAAATTTAAAATATATAATATATATATCTTGATTTACAAAAACAAAACAAAAACAACCGTTTCGACATAGAATTTTTTTTATTCTTTATTATTAAAAATTTGCATTAACTTTTTTTACAAATTAAAAAATACTTTAATGTAAATTAAAAAAAAAATTATATTAAAAACAAAAAATAATTTGCCAAATTTCTTTTTAAAAAACAGTGTGTGTTGTTACTGTAACTCTCCACAAATTCTTTTTCTGTTCATTCTTATATGAAATGAATGTATGTGAGAAGAAATCTTCAATATCACTATTTTAATACCCTGAACAGGGTATATAAAGTTTGCCACGAAGTTTTTAACACCCCGAAGGAGACCCTATAAAATATAATATAATATATATACGAATAGTATTCGCTGAGACTATTTAAGCATGGGTGTCTATCCGGCTACTTATTTGTAGTTGTTGTACGGAAACTTTTTTATTTGTGTTGGGTATTACAGCTTCGGTGCAACCGAAGTTATTATTTTTCCTTGTTTTTATTATAAATTCTTTTCATTCTAGACTCATAATTGGCTTCCCGAACACCTACACTTTTACGAAGAATCTCGCCGAAAGTGTGGTTAATGACTTTCGGGAACGTTTGCCGGTTGCTATATATAGACCGTCTATAGGTGAGGCATTGACATTAAACTAAATAAAGAATATGTGCAAAACCTTAGTATTTATCGATTAATCGATTAATGATCACCACTACATTTATATATATTGGTTCAAGAAATCGAATAACTAAATTATGAGATTACTAAGTTTTAGTTTTATTAAATAAATAATTATATTTTGAAGTCAACTTAAAGTGAAAATCGGTGTGATGTAATCGATTATTTTTAATGAAGAAAATCGATATGTTAAAACTAAATTGAATTTATTATATTATATAAATGGGGTCAAAGAAATGTTTATTATTTATCAAAATTAAGTACAAAACTACCACATTTATAACTATCGAATTTTATTTTATCGAAATTAATCGATTTTTTTAATTTTCAAAAAAATGTCTTTTAATTAAAAAATATATTATTAAGTTGTTTCTATATAAAAATTATAGTTCTTCATGCACTCTCTGACCCCATACCCGGTTATCCACCCACCTTGATGGGGGCTATGGGTCTCTTCGTACTTGTCGGCGCTGGCATACTGAAAACGGTCTTTTTGTCGTATTCAACACGGTTTGACATAACACCACAAGATATCGGCATCAAAACAATGCTGTACTATGCCGCTCGTGCCGGAAATGAATATGCGCAGAAAAAGTAAGTGCGAACACATTGAAAAAGTGTTCAGAAACGGAAAGTCTAAATCATATTTTACAGAGCAATTGCAGAAGCGCCCGTGTATATGTCCTCATCATCGAAACACTCAAGTCACACCTTCGTCCAGATGTGTCAGGTTATGGAGAAAGGCTTGTGGTATGAGGCGGCGTTTGAAAAGAATTTCATGTTGCCTACTGGCCATTACACAGACAGTCGTTTTGTGTACAAATTCTTGGTATGAAAAGCGTGTAACTGTAAACTTTTTACCATATATATTTTTGAAATTTCTATGTCCAGGTCTTCACCAAGCAAATACTGCCTGCTATGCTGGCTGACGGTTTAATTATGCTTTCTGGCCGTAAACCGGTACTTATGGGTATTGTACGTAAGGCCTATATCTCTTTAGAGGTTATGAAACCATTTCTCTTTAACACCTACGATAGTCCGGGCATGACACATTTAGAAGAGTTGACGGAGGCAACAAAAGGGTAAGTTTCGTGGAATGTGTAATTAGTTGGAGTTCTCTCATACAACTTTGCTCTTTCCTAATACTTAAATTTACTTGTAGCACCGAATTCGATCTTCTCCCTGATATCTCACGCGCCAAAACCGACGAAGGACTCCTTGAAATTTGCACAACCATGATTTTTTCAATTCGTGAATATTTGTTAAATGAGGATCCAAAGACTATTCCGATTGCGCAGAAGAGATTGAGAATGTAAGTCGATAATTATTGCTTGTATTTTTATAGGACTCATTAATTTTTTTTTTCACCCTTCAGCAAGCGTTTGGTCTATAATATTCTACGTGCTATTATATTCTACTACATTTTGCGTTGGTTTTATGGCTTTTTGCTCAACTATATTGAAGGACCTACTGCACAATGATTACTCGATATCAGCTAACTTAGCTATATATGGTCTTGTACACCACTTATAAACCGATATAAGACTTTTGAAATCAGCTTTTCTCCTGCGTAGACTAAATTGTAACAATTTTGTGGGTTATTTATAGCGTTGCTTATAGCTATTTAAAGCTCAAACAAATCTGGTAATAAAATATTAAATAAATTCGTTTTTACATAAACATATTTATGTACAGTATTTTTTGGCACATTTTTGAAGATAGAAAAGAAACCAAAAACTAACTATTTGAGATACCAGATCTCATAACTACACTGGTGACAACAGAAACGAAACCCCTTAGAAGATTTCTGATGGCTACAAGACGCTTTCGATATCTGATAGATATCTGAGATCCAGCTATAGAAGTTCGGGCTTCACAAAATTTACTTTAGCAGTGACAAAAGTGATCTCGGGCTGGGAGAATCAGATATAGAACCTAAGTAAACTTAACTATTTGAAAAGCATTTTGGAAAAAAACGAAGATCTTTAATACACCTATATACTACAATATATATACATATTAACATGGAAAAGTTCAATCAGAATGTCGGTCGGTAAAAACTCAGTTATGCGATTTTTACAAGCTCTTGTTTCTAGGATTCTTTCAGGTCTTCGATAAATATTTTTATAACTTAGTATAGAAAAACCTTTATTACTCATTACAGCGAAGTGAGTTGATAGACGTGAATGTTAAATGTATAGACTTCTCCTTTATGAGATATTTTGAAGGATATATATTTTTTATTATTTTTTTTTATATGTGTGGACACTCATGGTTTGTCGATAGATTCCTTTTTCATCAAAAAGGAGAGATATGCGAAAAGTTCTTGCGATATTAGAAATAACTTTCTTTAGAATTATTATCCGAAAAATTGGAGGAAATTATACAAGTTTTTGACATGAAAAATTGACTTTTAGACTTTACGTACCTAAGCTAAGGAATTACACTACTTGCAATAAGATTTCACTTAAAAGCTTTCTCAGGGTCCTAGAATCCTATGTTACAACATATTCGTATTTCTATCCTGACTGAGAGAACATGCTGCACTCTTATGCAGTTATAAATATATAATCTTTATGCTTATAAAAATAAATAGAGAATGCGGTCATCACAAAAATAGTTTCGCCGAATTTCAATATTAGACCTCATAGGTTGAGCGATATGTTCGGTAAAAAATCAGCCATATGCACTAGGGTCCCCATATTTGTTGCCAAGGAACATATGTATGTATCAGAGTTCAGCAAGATATCTCATTTTTCACTAAAGTTATCGCTTGCACGGACAGAACGGACGGACAAACAGTCAACCGAATTTCAACTCGTCTCGTCGTCCTGATCATTTATGTATATATGGTATACATTAACTTATAGCTAACTCGATGAGTTTCGGGTGATACAAAGAACCGTTAGGGGAAAAAAGCTTTTATACTCTGTAGCAACATGTTGCGAAAATAAAAAATTTAATAGATAATATACATATATATATATATATATACATATATATAGTATTTCATTTAACTCTAGTTGGAGCGTAAATAATAGATAGATATATTCCAGAAAACAACCTTGAAACTAAATGGTCGCTCTGGAGTGTCTTTAATAATAATTATATAAGAGGAGAGGAGGAACAAATAGAACTGGTAACCTTAAGAAACTATTAACATTTTTCTGCGGAGAATATAGAACCAGATTATTGAAAATTCTACTAGGTGATATGAGAAATTTGTAAAAGGTGGCGAGGAATTTATAAGAAAACGTCAAAGATCAGAAAATAAAAATTAAAAAAAATTAAATAAATAATAAAATAATATAAACTTCTTCAAAATTAGAAATATTGACATAAAAAACAGTTTAAAAGAAATTATATAAGTGAAATGTTTCCACTCAACATCGGCCTATCTTGGGAAACGCCTATTTATATACGAATTCTGATAACGTTTATCTTACTGCAATTACTAGGACTGTTCTCCTTTCTATTAAGGAATTATGTGCAAGAGTATTCGTATAAATTTTGGTTACCAGATTGAACTAACAAAATTATAATAACGAGTACAACTGTGAAAGTCTCCAAATATGTGTATTTGTGTAAATTCTAAAATTAACTAAATAAAAATAATGTAAATAATTTCTACTCACATCATTTTGACTGCCGCGCACACTGTGGTGCACCGAACCATAACGCTTCATCATGCCGGAGTTGGCAAGGTCCTGACGTGAGGCTGTGTACTCTGGTATGTTGAGAATGGAACCCTGGTAAAATAAAAAAAAAAACAATTACGAAAAATTATAATTTAAGAGTGTTTAGTGTAAACTCTTACCTGATACAGAATATCCGGCCGATACATGGTGCCACTGCCCCAGTTCTCTTGCGGTGGCGTCAACTGATCTAAATGTGGCTGACTGCGATGGCGCACCATATCCGTGCTGCTGGTGCTTTGAGCGATTGTTGGGCATGCTATCTTGCCATTGGCGCAATTGTTCACAGCCTGATTGTTCTAGAGTCGCATATGTATGGGGAGAGCAGAGTTAGTTTCTAGCCACAATAAGTGAATTATAAACAAAAAGAAAAATAACAAACGTCAAGAGAGGATATAGAGAAAACACAACAATCACATAGGTAAAGGGTGGGGAGTGTTAGCATTTGGGTAAAGATTAAAAGAGATATTTGCGTACTAGACCCCCTTAAGGGTGCAAGCTTTGCTTGTGGGTGAGGAATTCATAAAAATATCACAGCGTGCTTGGATTGCGTGCAGATATAAAGAGAGGTTATACAAATATGTATATTTAAATTATTTGTAGCGAGCGTGCTGGATGGGGCACATACATTTGTATATAACAGGAGTGCAGTAAGGTCTGTTTCAATTGTTTGGGAATCAGCGTTAAGTGTTGGGAACGAACTACATTTTACTTGCGCTAACAGCATGGTCAAGTCGAGCGAGAGCATCCGGCAACGCGCCAAAGAGGGACGCAGCTGTCGTAACTGTGTGTATATGTGGTTATGTTGTTGTTGTGGGTTGGAGACGCGCGCGCACACCGCAAACGACGAGAATAGAATAGAAACCAATTAGAATAATATGCAGAGAAAATTTTCTTAAAAATAAACTAGTCCGTAAAATCAGAAGTTAAAAAATATTTCTGACTCCCTCACACACACTTACATTGTTGCTATTGAAGCCATGTCCCACGCTGTTCGAGCGACACAAAGCCGCGTCAGCGCGTTGCGGCAACTGTAAATATTGATCACCCTCAGTCGTGCCAGGTTTGAGTGGCTTCAGTTCAGCAGTCGTTGTATTATTGTCAATAATATCGCTTTTTTGCGCTTTAGATGGTTTTGGCGCCTCCAAAGGTCGGAAGAGCGCTCCGAATATTATACAATTCAGTACAATGCCGCCAATGATAAGCATAGCGCCACGCCAACCAAACGAACCGATCAGATATTCGGTGAGCGGCGCAAATACGAATGTGCCGAAACCGGAACCACACACAGCAATGCCGGTGGCAAGCGAACGTCTCGCCTCAAACCACGTTGTCACACTTACAATGGCTGGCAGATAGATGAGACCCAGTCCAAAACCTGTGCCAATACCAATTGTAAAGATGAGTGTGAGCACATTCTGCGCGAAGAAACTGGCCACAATGCAGGCGGAGGCAAATATAGCACCGGCTATAGTGACCGCTCGACAACCGTAGCGATTGACAAACGACGACGAGATGGGACCTGTGATTCAAGGAAGCATATATATAGAATTTCTTCTAATTTTTAAAAAGCTCGATAAAACAGTACTCACCTGAAGCGTAGGTAACGCCTACCATAATGGACACAATCCAGGCCGTATAGCCTGAACCTTCATTGAAGTAGGTCAGAAACTCATCATAGAAGAGACCAAACGAGTACGTCATGCCATCGGCTGTAAAACAAAAAAAAAAAAATTTTTAGTATATAATGTTTTATAATAAACCTCCTAAAGCTCCTTCATATAAAATTTCAGTAAAAAATATAATCGACATCACTTGATGAGACTATCATAAGATGAATACTCCAACAGAAGATCAGTTAGATTAGTTAATTTTCTAGCTAGTACGACTAGTTGTTCAAATTTATTAATGAAGATTTAAGATTTGTAAATAAAAAATTTGTAGTTTTGTGTTTCACCTTCCAAAAAAAAATAATTAAAATGGAAGCGGAGACGAAAGAAAATATATATTACACGAAATATGCCGCGGACTGCCGAAACCTCTACAACCAAAGCGGGCCTAGATTTGAATCTGACCACGTACCTGCATACATTATTAGCCGATAGTTGGTGTAATTTAGCTTTAAAGCTTAGGAATCAGTAAGCTGAAGATTATTTCGAATTTTAATGGTAATATGTATCATTTTTTCAGGGATGATCTTCCACTTTTCAGTTTCCTTTTCTTTTATTTTTATTGGAAAGAAAAATTCGTATCTTAGTATCTACTTTTTGAAAAAAATTCGAAAACTCAATTTCCTATAAGAGACGTAATTCTTTCTCCAGATGTAACTTAGGAAATTTGGTCCTGGTCTCTCAAGGGCTACGCAATATTTTGAGTAAGAACTTAACTCTTGTAAAGACGCAGATCACGATAAAATTGTATTCACGCTTCTGAGATATTCTTTGATTCCGGCGGGATTTCCTTGCTTGGGACTTGGTATGTGGTGGACTTAAATCTCTGCTTAAGGATAAGCTGTAATTTTCAAAGAACGATTTTTCTTCGTCAATGAGTATAAATATTTTCTTTTAAATTTCTACAATGTAAACGTTTCCCATAAAAATCAGTAAAAAATTCAGGGTCGTCAGTAATTGTTAAACGATTAAATTCAAACAGTTAAAATACAATACAATAAATGTTGTTACGATTTAAAAAAAATCAATGAACTTTTACCATATTCAGCCAAAAATATGCAATACAAAATTTTTAATCAAAAAGGAAAAAAATAAAATTTTATTACAAAAAAAAAAAAAATTAATAATAATCTTAATATAGCCTAGTTGTATTGACCTAGTGAATGCCGAAAATACCTAAAAATGTACCTGACAACGGATGATGAAATAAACAATCGATCTGTCAGTTTTCGCCGGTTTTTTAATAATTGCTTTGTTTTCAAGCATGAAATTCTTAATTTGGTAATGTTTACGATATTATCAAAAAAAAAAAAGAAACAGAAATAAACTACCAACTTTTGAACCCAAAACAAATTAATTAAAATATTCAGTTGTCAATAGATTGTGGCACTTCTTGCATGCCTAACAACAGATTTCAACCAAAAGTAAAATTCCATCGCAAACAAACCACTTGAATAGCAAAATAAGGAGCCAAGTGCTACTTGAATTGCATATATTTAAAGATTAATTTCTTCGTAGTTCAAAATTAGTACAAATAATTGCGTTCAGAGATTTTTTTAAAGAGCTGAGCTCATTTCGTTGGTTAATTTATTTCAGACAGTTCGCTAATTTAGACAATTAGCTAATTGCCTATACGCGTAAAGAAACCTGTACACAAAAAATAATAAATTATTTGACCCTTTTGGACAGTTTATTTTTTGTTGACTGTATGTTATGAAATTGTATCACAATACACTTATTTATTTTTAATTTCCGATATTTATCTGAACAAAAGTACACTATTATTAGGTATATTTCAACACAGCTACGATTCGAATTAGGGGTATGACTTTTTAGGTTTAGTATGTCATCATATATCAGCGCAGAAGCTTTTTAAAATGGTGAAAAGTGAAAGTAATTCATAGAAGGTTAAACCCATTGAAAACGAAAGCTAAAGCAAAAATGAAAGGAAAGAAATAATTTAAGAGGAAGAGAAAGAATTGTGGCGTGTTTGAATTTTTAATATTTAAAAATGGTGTATCACATTATGCGTCAAAACCTTAAGTTCTATAGAAAAAATCTATATGGCAAAGTTGTAGGCAATCAAAATATTTATAATTTTTGTATTAACACCTTTACCCATAACCTCAAAATTTATGTGAAAAATTAAAATATTCAAGTTTTTGGAATTTTAATTTTAATCTTGTACAAAAAAAAATTTTTCACGAGTTTTGGTGTAAACTTAGCCTCTTATGTCTCAATCACACTGCATTTTTATAATTTAAAATATTAAGCAGACAACCGTATTTCGATTTAGAACTGAAAATACCAATATCAGATTTTTCTTTAAGGTCAGTAAGCTTTGATTTTGTTGAATCTCCATTTGCTGTTGGTATAAAAATACAAGTATATAGGTATGTACATTACTAGGTTAAATTTTCTCAAAATAAGCAAAAAACACACCATTTTCAAAAATTAGCTATCTCGGTCTTTCTACTATATCGCATATGTGTTACCGCAACTTTCGGGTATATTTAACCGAAAATACCCCAATCGATATAATATACAAACAAAAGGATTATTTAATAATTGAAAACAAGTAGCTTACATCTTTTAAGAAATAATAATATAAAAACTAAATTTCATAAGCCAACTTGTAATCCTCGGTTAAAATAATAATAATGACCAATATGAAGACATTGAAAGTAAAGGAGCAATGTAGATAAAAAAGTATTGCCATTTCTTAAATGTATAAGATACTGACTGCGAATAAATCAATCACTTTCTGGCCATATTTGAAGTAAAGATATTGTTGGTAAAAAAATTATTTTAATAAAGAGTTCAAGGCAGAACTTTTGAAGGAAGGCTATGACATAGTTAGTAGTAAAAAATCAATTCTTAGATTTAAAAAGTATTTTGAGGTTAAGTGTGAAGAATAAAAAATTTAAATATTTGAAACGATGCATTTCTAATAGCAATACTGATAATACGATAAGCTAAATTTTTAATTTTAATTAAACTAATTATAAGAAAATATAATGTTTTTATGTTTGTCGAACTTTTATACATGTATTATAATACTTTATTTTTAGATGAAAAAAATATAATTTCTATATTATTTTTTTATAATTTAAAAAATAAATACATGTGTAGCTATATAGGCAGTTACACCCCTAATATGTGTCTTCAAATGCATGATTCCATATATCCGTGTGCCAGCATTTACTGAACTTAACGCCTTGTTATCGCGTGACATATATCTTGCACGCGACTTATCACTTGTCTGTATGTATTGACATTATATTTGCTAAGTCCATTATGAGTATCACTCTTGTTTCTAACTGTTAATTGTTCAAGAAGGTTTTAGTGAAGGAAATGATAAATTATGTTTTATCAATCCACACAAAGTACTCAAATTAAAAGTATGTACATATATAGTTAATGAGTAATACTTTGTCTCCAAGTCAATTGTTGTTGAAGGTTGATAGTTGCTGCAATGTTCCCAAGTATTGCTTCAAACTGAAAACTATTGATCTGATAAAGAAACACTATCGAAAGTACTTAACTGATCAAGCAAGAACATATTGTGAAAGAGAGTGAGATATAGAGAGGATTGGGAGCGCGAACGGTTTGGATGGATTTTTGACAGCGGCTCTCTACAAAATATCATTGCTTTAATAAAAAGAGTTTTTAGTTTTCATATCCTTATTAAATTAAAAAAAAAGAAGTTATTTAAACAAAACAGCAAGATTTGTATTTAGCTACCATACGTGGAGTTTTTTTAATGCTTGTCAATTTAATGACGTATCGTCTGGCTTTAATTAGTGGGCATAAATCACTTCATATTATCATATACTTTTGTGTTGACTATTTGGCTTGTTTATTTAAACTTAATTATTTACTACCCCTTGTGTCCTAGTTTTACTGATATGTTGAATCGCTTGTGGCTTATAAGCCTTAAAGGTTCGATTACCTATCAGTTGATAAGGGCGAAATTCTGTACTCACATATATTTTTTCGGATCAAAATAATAGTAACAATAATAATTATGTGCTAAAAAAGCTATTTTCTTATCGAAAAGTGCGATTTGATGACTTAGCTTTAGCACGAATAATATACAAGTAATTGGCAACTTAAATTTCAAAGCTAGTAATTTAATATTACCATAATCGAAAGAGTTACTTATGGATGTATATCGAAATTAGGAAATTTCAAGAATATAATTTGTGACAGTTGAAATTTTCAATGGGCGATAAGAAAGTTGAAAATAATTCAAAAGAAACAATTTTTAGAACAAATAATTTTTTTTAACTTTTTTAATGGTGTCTAATTTCATTGGATACCATTCTAATCATAAATCGTTGAACTATACAATAAATAACATTTTTTTTCTTGTTCTCATTGACACACTTCATTGAAAATTGCAATCAGTCTCGCGATAGAAAAAATAATTGAAATGAAGGCTAATAAGCAATGCATGTCGAAGCGTCTAAGTAGTGCATGTAAACAAATGATTACACTCGAATAAGGGGATTAACTAAGCGATTACAGCTCGATTACTTAGCTAAGACAAAGTTAGTGCGAAAAGCAAATAAGCATTGTACTGAAGAAGTCAATTGAATAAATACAAACGTATGTACACATATGAGTAAACATATTTAAACTAATCTACTTTTTTTTGAGTATTTACTCGAATTTTGTAAACATTTTATAAATATTTCTTGAAACATGTCTATTTACATAAGGCGACGCACTGACGTATAACGACGTATGAAACTGGAAGTTACTCATACGCACTGGCTTTATCGAAGATTCCGAATCGTTAACAAAGAATGAAAGTGAAGTCAAAGGAATATAAATACCTAATCCCCCCTATTACTCGAATATCCTGTGAATTATTTATATTATGAATAATAGCCGCAGCCATTGAATTAGGGCTATATGACCTCTACCTTGCCCATTTCTACAGTTCTAAAGTACTCAATGGACCTGCGTCTTGCTGTAATAGAGCGAACTATACTCTAGCAATTTGTACGGCAGCTATATGCTATAGTGATTCGATCTGAACAATTTGTTCGGATATTTTAGGGTTGCATTGGACAATAATATTTGCTAAATTTATTAAAGATATTTTGTCAAATCAAAAAGTTTTCCCTACAAGAACTTAATTATGATCGTTCATTTTGTATAGTAGCTATATGCTACAGTCGTCCGGTCTGAAAAATTTGTTTACAAATTGTAGTAATGCTTTAGATAATAATCCGTGCCAAATTATATGAAGATATCTTGTCAGATAAAACTGTTTTCCATATAAGAACTTGATTCCGATCGTTGAGTTTGTATGGCAAATATATGCTAAAGTGATTCGATATCGGCAGTTCCGACTAATAAGCAGATTCTTGGGGGAAAAGGATGTATGCAACATTTCAGAGCGATATCTCATATACGGAGAGACTAGTTCACATAAACACAGACAGACGGACGGATGGATAGACAGACAGTTATGGCTAAATCAACTCAGCTCGTCACACTAATTATTTATATATATATATATATTACAGGGTCTCCGACGTGTCCTTCCTGTTCAGGATATAAAAAGTAAGCATACAAAATTTTCGTAATATCTGTTTCTATCATTCATGATCACAAACTACCCCTGCGTGATAGCCCACAAACTTCTAACCAGATTACTAGTATACACGTAGTTATTGCTATAAATTGGTTTTATGTTAAAAAATGTTTTTGCGAAATTCTCGACAGGATAACAAGACTGAGACTGAAACATCTCGGTAATCGCATATTCGGCCGACCAGAAGACTTAGCCGAAACGGATATTAGCCGTCTCAACAAATTTGTTATAGGCTCAAAGCTGTCGATCTGTAAAGGTCTTTTTATCCAGCCTTAAAGGAGGTTTTAGGTACCACAACGGACCGGTTTTCTTAGCAGCCCAAGTGAGATCCTATTCAGGATCGATCTCCCAACCTAGCCAACCTAACCTAATGACATATAGTCATAATCCAAAATAAAACAATCATTATTGGCTTCAACTAAGCAAATAAGTATTTTCGATTTCGAAACACTTTTATACCTTCAAAGCTTTAGGAGAATAAACACTTGCAACTTATTGATCACTTAAGAGGGCCTTAACGGTATTATAGCACATATTTAATATTGTTTGTATATAAGAAAACGACTCCTAACTGAGTACTATAGCATATAGATGGCATATGAATTGAACGATCAAAATCGAAACCTTGAATGGAAATATTTTTTATTTGTGAGAGTATTCCAGCATCAGTACCATAGAAGAAGCTAACGTTTTTCTTGTTATTAACTAATTTGAGAACAGAAGAGAAGAGTGGTGAAGTTATTTTTTAAATTATTTAAACTACGATCCTCGCATACTTCGCTGAAGTACTAGTGAGTATTCGCCATAGGCTTAGTTAAGCTGGTAACGAAAGAGCACGACTAGTAATCTGTTTTTTTTTTTTGGTTTCGAAAAACTTGTATAAATATACGAGTTTCTGGGAAAAAAGCTTCCAACATTCATATGTGCCGGAAAGGTGCTTCAGAACTTAGTTCTAATGCTACTAAACCCTATTCGACCATATTTACTTTTGCAACAAATGAACATACTCACATATCTGTAATAGCTGTTTTCGGTTTAGAAAATTATAAAGAATGGTGAATCGAACAACAAACGGGTATAAATACAAAAAAAACGACATTAGCAGTTCTAGATTCGCTTTTTCGGTTTTAAGCAAGTTAAATTCGATATTTGTGAAAATTAAAGTGCTTTCTTCTTGCTTGGTAGCTTGATAGTTTTGTTAACAGCTAGACAAGGTTTGCTGTTTACAGCAGAAATATAGTGCAACAAAGATGGCTAAAATGTATTAACAAATAGTTTTCAAGTACTATAATAAATAGCATTAAACTTTTACTTACTGATGATGTGTATCATAAACGATCCAAAGACGACCATCCAACCCCAGCCGCCATCTGGTGGCACCGGTGACAGCACATCCTCCACCAAATCACAATTGCCATTTGAGTTTTTATTGTTTTTATGTGCTGGTGCATGCACCATATTTGTGTTTAGTATAAACTACTTAAAGAAGAAAACAGCGACTGGAATGTGTGTGTGTACGTGCAGTATAATTCTGCTTGTGTATCTAATCGCGTTTGGTGAAAGCGCAAGGAAGCGCCTTTTAAATCAGTCTGTTGCTTATGCTCCTCGGTAGCGGTATGAATTCCAAATTAAACCGTTAAAACTGCATATGATGTGTGGCTGTCGTGTGCAGCGTGTTGTCAACACGCAATTTGCACTCAATTGGCGTTACTGTTGTTGACGCTGCTGCTGTTGTGGCTAGCAATATTTGAACTCCTGCTGCTCGCCACTCAAAATGCAATCACTGCTCTCTGCTCGATTCAACCGCTTGGCAATTTGACATTGCTTTGCAAAGTTTTTCTTTGCTTTTGTGTTTTTTTGTGAAAGAGAATTTCAGTTGATTTTTCTTATGTCTCGTTGCTGTTGTTGTTGCACTTGTCTCGCGATGTGTCTCTGTAATGAAAAATAGTGCGGCTGGTTAATTGTGTTTTGCCATATGTATTTGTGTACGTTCAAGAGTATGTGAAGACTTTAGCACGCGGGAAATTATTATGCATATTCAAAAGCAATTTGCTTCAAAGTGAAAGTGCGAAAGTAAAATATAATATGTGTTTGTGGCAAATGACATTTACATTTGATTGGATCATTGAATGGCTTCTATTGTTATACACATACGAGGTGTGTTCAAAAGAGAACGAGAACTTTCGTGTTTTTGAAAAAATGAAATATTTAATCATTCGTCTACATTAAAGTTATCGCTTTGAAAATAGTCTCCAAATGATATTATGCACTTATGCCAGTGCTTCTTCTTATAGTTGAAACACTTTTCAAACTCCATTTTTGAGAAAGCCTTTAGCGCTGATAGCGATAATGTCATCTATGCTTATAAAACGAGGGCTCTTTAAGGTTTTCTTAATTTTTGGAAATAGGAAAGAGTCACATGGAGCCATGTCTGGCGAATATGGAGGATGGAGCATTGTTACAGTATTGTTTTTGGCGGAAAATACGCGAACAAATTCTTTCATCCATTTCTTCACAAACGCCACTTTCTCCCCTTCCCTCTTCATTAAACATGGAAGGAAATGCGAAAAAAAAGTAATACGATTATGGTAGTATACAATTTTCTTATCCGAAAACGGCGAAAAGATGTTGTCACTCTAGTCCTAGCTTTTCTTTTGGTGGACTGTAACATATGGTATAGAGACTGATATGAAGTTGTATGGTAAACTTTGATTGATTGGTCGGTTTGAGGTTAAAGTAATCTTGGGAGAAGTCGGAACTAAATATGATTAAAAATTTAACACTTCGAGATTTAAAAAAATAAGAGCGACCATCTTTTGGGCACAACCAATAACAGTGGGGAGTCTACTTTATCACGAACACAAGTATCTGAGAGCCACAAAGCATTTCGTGAAAGTCGTGAAGGCAATTTTATAATTTTAGTTTACCTCCTCAAAATGCTAAAAAGTTTATCAATTATTAAAGGCCGCTAGCTATTATGTTTAAAAATCCGGGAAGTCAAAGACATTCTCTAAAACTTTGGCAAAAGCAAACTAAACATGTGATCCTATCAGAAATCTTTACTTTAGACCCCGCACTAATTTATTCTTATGTCCATAAATTTGATAGCTTATATATATTAGAAGCAAATGAATGAATGCTTAAAAAAATGTGATGAAATCTAAAAGATTTTTGCAAAGCGAGCCCCTAAAAAATTTCCATTCAGCACACGGAGGTTAACGATAATCTTATACGAGTATATATTATCAGCCCTTTTACTTATCAACGGGAGCACGAAATTGTTTTCGCCCCACAGTTTTTTGTATATTAAAAATATATATTTTCATTATAATGAGAATGTTTTTAATGTTCACACCATTTACGTGATCAGATTGAAACTTGATCACGCTTCGTTTAGCTTTAGCTGGCTAATTATAGATTTTATTATATATATATGTATATTTTATATAATATTAGTGTGTATAGAGAATATATGCAGTGCATAGTGTTATTAATTAAATAATAAACATAATAATAGCTGATAGTCCCACATGAGTTCTTAACAAAGCGGTGGAAATGCAAGCGGTTGAAAATGAAAGAGAAGCTGACTATCGGATAGAGGGGAAAATCGAAATCATCAAATAAATTTATTTAAGCACGTGATGTTCAACTTATGTTGCTGTGTGCTAGTATTTCTAAACGTTTCGTTGTTTGTATGTGTGTGCAATTGCAAACAATTAATTTTCTTGTATTAAAATAAATTATTTTCTATTAGCTTTTGTAACGAAAACAATATGCATTAAGATGTTGTTTTGATATAAAAATAATAATTTAGTAGTAGGTGCTGTAGGGTTTTGACATGAAAAGAACAAGTGTTAAAATCATATTTCTAAAACCAAAAAACGTTAAATTCAGCTGCATCGAAGAAATATAGCCATCACAGATGCATTTCTTATAGCAGCTATATGTGCAACTAAATCTAAAAACTCAACCGGCTTACGGAAAATGTTTTGTAGTTCTCTCTAACCACGTTGTTTGCTTTAAAAATGCTTGAAGTCGAATTAAGGTTACTTTATAGGGAAACAAAATTTTTATGGCGATCCTTTTCTTAATATTTAACGGTAAACTGATATCGAAACTATATGCTATAGCGCTGTGATCTGGACAATATAGAGATTTTATTGTAGCTTGTAGTCTTTGGCAATAATTTATCCTGAATTTCGTGAAGAGCTCTTGTCAAATAAAAAAGTTTTCAATACACAGACATGATTTTGTTCGTTCAGTCTGTATGGCAGCTATATGTTATAGTGGTCTGATATCTTTAGTTCCTAGAAATGTGCTCTCTCTCCTCTTGAAGAAAAAAGGACTTTTACAAAATTTCTGATCCATATCTCAAAAACTGAGGGACTATTTAAGAAAAATTTGATATAAAGCAAATTTACTGTTATATTATATAAGAAGTCAGTTTTGAGTCAAGGAAAAGATTAGAAGATCCGCAAAAATACAACTAGGCACAAATATCAAATGAAATAGCGTTGCTTTAGAAAAATATGTTCTATGGAAATTTTATTCCTTTAAATACCCATGCTCGTACAGCTTTAAATGTAAAGTTTCTGAGTCTAAACAGTTAAATTAAGTATTCATAAATGTAAATATGTACAAAAAATTTTCAGTTTTTACTTGAACCCAGATAGATTCACCAAGTGTAAAGTGAGTGTTAAGATACAAATGTGTCGGTAGGAAACATTTGTTGTTGTTTATTTTTTTTTCTGTTTGGTTTGCATGACATCTGTCAATCATATATTTGAAAAAAAGTGCTGTAGAAAAGAATGTTTGTCGAGGCATATGGTGATCATGCTCTATCAGAATCAACATGCAAAAGATGGTTTCAACGGTTCAGAGATTAATGAAGAATGTGGGACACCACCAAAAAAGTTTGAAGACGCCAAACTGCCAACAATATTGGATGAAGATGATACTTTCAGTCAAAAGCAAATGGCAGCCATGCTAAATGTTGCACAACAAACAAATTCAGATCATTTGAAAGCTATGGAAAAGATCGAAAAGTATTGAAAATGTTTGCTACATAAATTGAATGAAAGAAAGAAAGGGAGACCTGAAAAAACAGTTGTGAAATTTCGCATAAAAGACACGAATGTGATCAACCATCAACATCTACTGCACAAACAGATCGATTCGGTAAGAAAGCAGTGCTCTGTGTTTGGTGGAGTCAGTGTGGTATAAAATCTGGTGAAACTCAATTTGAATCACGCATTGATCCAAAAACGACCATAATGGGCCAGAAGACACGGCAACGTAATTTTGTTACACGGCAATGCACCTACACACAAAGCAAAATTGATTCAGGATACAAACAAAGTACTTGGCTGGGAGCTCCTACTCCACCCGCCGTATTCACCAGCCTTGACCTCTTCCGATTACCATTTGTTTTTATCGATTGAATACGCATTCGTTGAGCACTTCGACTCCTAAGCAGAAGTCGAAAATTGGCTGTCTGATTGATTTGCTTCAAAAGACGAACATATCTATTGACATTGTATGTTAGCCAAAAATTGCCAGAAAGGTGGTCAAAATGTGTAAAAAGTAATGGTCAATATATTGAATAAATAGTTTTTACTTTCTTATTCCAAATTAGTATTTAATTTTCACAATAAAACGCTCATTTCATACAAACTATGTTTAAATTAAAGTTTTAGTGGAGAGCTATATTACGTTAGAAAATGGTCAAATTAGACAAACAGTTCTCAAGTGTAGAATCGTGTCCCAGCTATTATTTTTGGATTTGTTCTCGTACAGCCATGTTAGAACTAACTATCATACCTTTTTCTACTCTAGTAAATATGTCATTTCAAGAGAATGGAAAAGGACCTTCTTGGTAATCAGAGACGTATCGGTTTTCTCAATTAATACCATATACAAGTATATACAAGGTGCAATTCAAAAGTTTCAGTACTTTTTAAATAACGTGGCTTCTAGGGGCGCCATCTGTCTGAAATTGTTATCCCTCAATTGTGTATTCTTCAGTGTTGTCGTATAAAATGTATATAATAGCTGACTTGTATAACAGCTGACTTGTATAACAGCTGAGATATCACGCTACATGTGACATCATATTTGTAGTGTCGGTCGGAAAATGAGCATCGAACAAAGAGCCAACATTAAGTTTTGTTTTAAACTTGGTAAATTTTTTACCAAAACTCATCAAATGATGAAACAAGTTTATGGCGATGATTGTCCCGTAGCCGTATTCACGAGTGGTTTAAACGTTTTCAAGAGGGACGGGAGGACTCGGAAGACGACGAACGTTCGGGCCGGCCAAAAGATGCTGTGAACGAAAAAACCACGGAAATTGTGCGTGAATTCATTAAAATAGAGCCGAAATCATCGCTTAAATATATGGAATCGGAATTATCAATATCCGCACTGTCGATTTATCGTATTTTGACAGAAAATTTGGGCCTCAGAAAAGATTGTGCTCGATTTGTCCGGCACACTTTGAAACAACACGAAAAAGACCTCAGAATTCAATATTCAAGAGACATCATTAAAGAGGTCAAAAAGGACCCAAACTTTTTGTATTCGATTGTGACTGGTGACGGTTTTATGTTGGTGTTTTGAAGCTAAATTTGGCCATGAAAGAAAACTGCTATGCTGACGTTGATGCCATCCAAAAGGTGACGACCGCCATCCTCAACGCTATACCGACAAATGACCTAAAAACGTCATTCGATAACCTTCTTGAACGTGCAAAACGTTGTATTCAGGCGGAAGGTGACTATTTTGAAAGGCGAACAATAAATTTTTCAAAAAAAAAAACAAATAATATTCGTTTTTTAATAAAAGTCCTGAAACTTTTGAATTGCACCTTGTAGTATAAAGATTAGGTGGATCTAAATTAACAGTGAAAGTATACAACCATAATAATGTTTATA